GACCGGGATTGGAACCCGATACACGCAGATTGCGAGTCAAGCGCCCTAACCACCTAGCCATAATAATATGAAAATGTAAAATGCGAGCTATACTTGAAGTTTTGGCTCTCTTTACTACGATCTGCTTTCAGAACAAGATATCGAACATGATTCATATCTTCTCTAGATAATTAATTTAGTGTGCTGACTTTATCTTCTCAATTACATAGCTTCATTGCAGTTCAACTACTATTCTTTATTAGAACGCTATTCAGCATACAGAAAGTGAAAAAAATGCATAAAAAAATATAATGAGCTAAGTTTCAACTTTCTGCTAACCCACGCAACAGAGACGGGCATCTCTGTATATATATATTATTTACTTGTTTCAGCTTCTATCTCCGATAACTCCTTAAAACCCTGTGGTCAACAAGCATTTCCAAATAAAATGCACGTCTTTCTAAGCCACTTAATTTAGTTGAAACTATATGGCTCAACTTTTTTATAGACATCTGGTGGGCATTTTAAAAAATGTTTCTCTCCCGTAATCTTCATCTTTACGTACAACGTCGAAAAATAAACACTATAAAGTTTTAATATTTTATATAAAAAGTCCTTACGTTATCCATATTTAAAGATATAGATTCTTCAAACTAATCCTAAATATTCAGAAATTTCTGCTAGTAATTATTTCGTAATTAGCGGGATTTTTAAGCAAATTTATACTATTAATTCATTTACAGTATTTCTATGAACCGATCCATAATTTCGACATTAATTTAATGGGGTGGAGATGAAACAAATTTCTCAGAAATTTAAACATTTAGATAATTCAAAAATACTAGGAACGATTTATTTTAAACATCTAGAAAGATATGCAATTTTTGTAGTCAAAGTAAGTTTTGTTTTAAACATGCGATATACCCTTAATTACATAAAGACAACTATAATGAATTATGACTAATAATTATCGTAAATTTATGTTTACTTCTTTAATTTTTTGAGCACTTATTATCATTAGTTGTGAATGTTTATTATTAGTCCTTAAATTTCCTTTCATGTGGTTCGTTGGTAGTTTGTTACTCGAACATCATACATCAAATTATGATTCACTGGTGTTTTTGTGGGGGGGGCACATTTGGTTGTTTGTTGCTCAAACATCATACATCAAATTATGATTTACTGGTGTTTTTGTGGGGGGCACATTTGGTTGTTTGTTGCTCAAACATCATACATCAAATTATGATTTACTGGTGTTTTTGTGGGGGGCACATTTGGTTGTTTGTTGCTCAAACATCATACATCAAATTATGATTTACTGGTGTTTTTGTGGGGGCCACATTTGGTTGTTTGGTAGTTTGTTACTCAAACATCATACATCAAATTACGATTTACTGGTGTTTTTGTGGGGGGGTCACATTTGGTTTTTTGGTAGTTTGCTACTCAAACATCATACATCAAATTATGATTCAATGGTGTTTTTGATTTCATACATTTGACACAAATTAATCAATAAACTATGTTTATTACGAATGTTTTCGTTGGAACTTACTTGGAAAATAATGTAGGGTCTTTTTAGCTTTAATATCAGTTCCAGGAATGAACAAGACACACTCCACGATATGCTCCTCGGGGAATAACTCATCGTCGTTTAATTGAAGAAAGACTTGAACATTGTAAACGCCATTATAATAAGAGCTTGAGTTTTGGACATGCATCTTCTCAGCATTATGTAATGGTGATGAACTACTACGCAGATGAACTGTAAGCACTGGTAGTGGGAAAACACCATCAACCTCACAAGTAAAATTTACTGATCCCTCAGTCACTATGGTATAGTTGAATTCGAACTTCCTGGGCAAAACTATATATTCATTCAACTTATTAGTTACAGGCAGTGAAACACCAACATCAAAACATGTCTCCATTAAATTTTTGAAGTAACGACAGTTTTTTTTTTTTTTTTTTTTTTTTTTTTTTTTTTTTTTTTTTTTTTTTTTTTTTTTTTTTTTTTTTTTTTTT